ACAGCCCACTTCAAGTGAATGCTGGACTTGAACGTTCTCTGTGTTTTGCTTCCCAGACCCTTGGTCGGGTTTTGTCATTTTCATTTAACACAGTGAGATGTGTTGAGAAGCTTAACCCCAGATCCCTGCAGGGAGATCCTGGCAGGGAGTGTATAGGAGCTTAGTCCTGTCCCATATCAGAATATCATGCATGAAACATGTTCTCCATTTCTTTCTTATCCTAAAGCCAAATGGGCTTAAATAATGAGAGCAAAAGGTTAAGGGGCCCGACGAGTGATTTGTTCTCCATTACCTCACCGTATCGGCCAAGTATTGCTTCATGACAAATCACTTCCAACTTGCTCCCATAAATCCCCATCTGATCACTGCTCTAGTGTGCCTTGGACCTCAGTGGAAGATTCCAAAGGGTGCAATCAAGTGTTTATGCTTTCTTTTTGAAGAAAGATCTGGGGCTCTGCTGTTTCTAGCCAATAGACTGGGGACATTCTCATCTTTCTCCCATCTCTTCTCTCACTACATCTTCTAACTTTTCATTTTTACTATTGGAAAGCTACGTCTGCCAGGTGGTTGAAAGAGAAAGAATTCTACAGAGCAGGGAGTGGATAAAGGAGGCTGGCGGTGGGGTGGGGTGAGGACACACAATGGGACCATGGTTGGGGGACATAGGAGCTACTCTAGGATCAGAGGACAAAGGTCCCCAGTGTCTGTGCCTGTGTGTTGTCCTTCCTGTGTGGTCCAACAATCCATAGCAAAGCTGCATCGCTGGCTGTCAGCAGCAGTATAGCCAGGCAGAGGGGCCTTGGGAGGCCACCGCATGGCTGGTAATGCCAAGATGTTTTCCCGCCAAATGACTGATGGACAGTGTGTAATGAGGAGACCTGTGGAAATTAACACAATCAGCTCCTAAGCACAGTCACCAGAGGTCAGGGGGTGGGGTCTCTTACATCATGGAGGAGTTCCAGAGGGAGTTGACAGGAATGGCCAAAGGCTTAGATGAGTAGAGGGGCGTGAGGTTCAGATGTCAATATCCGCATTGCCATTTATACCCGGGGATAGGAACAATTTGGATCCTAAGACTATCACAGCTATGGTGACATGGATGCCCTATCCCCACCCTTCCCAAAGGAAACCATTTGTCTATCCTATGGCTCAGCACCTGGAAGATAGACCCATGTGTTCTAGATTTACTTAACTCCACAGTGACGTGAGGAAAAATGAGTTTGAATGGATTGAGAATCTGTAAAGCTGCTGTTGATCTTTGAAATAGCAGTTTTCAAGGAATAGTCACTTCGAAGGCTGCTGAAGTGTTTGGAGGACATCTGGTGATGCATCCTGATAGCAGGGACCCCTTCTTTCTGTCTGCAACCCTGTCCTAGCCAGGATAGTGTGGGGAAGCTAGGACTTCCCATTCTTGGCTAAGATTTGGGTTAAAGTCGATAATTATACTCTCCTGCAGGTGGCGCCACAATGTAGGTTTTCAAGCAGCCTTAGGCCAGAGGTTTTTATCCTGAGCATAGAGCAGGACCCAGCTGCGGGACAACTCTTGGGGAAATATGTCTCTGCAGCACCACCGGACTCTGGCGATTTGTTTAATAAACAAATCTGGCTTTGTCTCTGTTCCTAAGCTAATAAAATGGTGGTAAGTGAGTGAAGGGCAAGTTAAGAGTCTTCTCTCTCCCCTCAAACCTGTCCCTTTTATTTAGCCACGAGAGATGAGCCAGTATGCCCCCCCCCCCAATCTGGCAAAGAACCACAGCCAAAATCTCATAAAAATAGCTTCTTTAGGAAATAGGACGCTATGAAGCAATGTGCCATTTAACTTCTCCCTCTTGTGGCCATGAGGCCAGCCAGACGCTGACCTACCCAGCTCTGCCACCAGGCCAGGGATTCAGTGAATGACTCACAGACCCATTGTCATCAGGGACCAGCTAGACTGCCCAGAGTATGTCTGTCTTCTCCCCTCATCAGCTGGTGGGGGTTGTAGGGCTAGAGAGAGCTGGTGGGAGAGCGAGAGGTGATCTGGATGGTCGCACGATGCTGCCTTTTCCAGGCTGTCGATTCATGGGCAAGAGTCGGGACAGCAAAGGGCCTGCCCCCTGCATTGTGCCACTGGAGAAAAGGATACTTTGCTATGACAGGGAGTAAGGATTCCTTCCACGTGCATTGCATGAAGAGTTTCAAACCACGCTCACAGAGGTTGTATTTCGTTTGAATACCACTGCACCCAGAAGGCATAAACGTGGCAGGTGAGGGAGGGGATGCCACTAAGAGCACACGATCTGTGCAAAATGATAGTGATGGTCAATACCAGAGTCAAGGAGTAGGACGGTCTACCTTACCCATCCCCCACCCCACTCCAGACTGGAGGGAACATTCAATAGGCCATCGGGTCTCTTGCTGGGGCTATTTTGACCCTTTCTGCCATTCCTTACAATGGTCTGAAGCGGTAACGGTTTCCAGCCTGCCTTCCTCCTGTGGTATTCAATGGAAGCCAGGGAAGGAAAAGGCAGTGTGAGGGAAGGCCCCATTAAGAGCAGGAGCTCTGGCAGGGGCTGCCCCTGCCCTTTGTTGGTCCGGCTCTCTGTACACTCTTTCCCTGTCATTGAGCCCTGTCATTACTCTTCAGGCACCACACGATATTCATTCCTCTGAATGAAAATAAATGACACCACACACTAGGCAGGAGATAAGGGATAATAAACACACTTTGTTTGCTTGCTACCTCTGGAAAAAAATCTTTCACTTCCTGTCCATCCATCAGGACACTGGCCTGGAACTTGCAGACACACACACACACACACACACACACACACACACACACACACACACAAACAAACACACACACACTACAAGGAACAGAAAAAACAACCAGGTGGTATTAAAAATACCTGCTGGGATGATTAATGATTGGCCGAGAAGGGGTCAGTTCTCACTTCCTCTCCCTTTCAGCATTTTTAGGTAAGTCCCCCTATAGCCATGTGATAACTGGGTTTGAAAAGATCTCTTGTATACCTTAGTGAAGCGTGTTGTTTAAGCAGCCTGTTAAGGCTTTCTGTAGGACTTTCTAGGCTGTCACTGCTAGAGTGAGCCTGTTGTGATGGCGCCGTGTGCCAGTTTCAGAGGTGGTTCTTGCAAGCATATTTGGGTACAGGTGAGGCAAGCCTTATGCAAACCTGTGGGGACAACTTCCTTTGATTTTGCATGCCAGGTGTCTCTGCAGTCTCATGTTAGACAGACGTTTGGCCCCGGGGCTTCCTCGGTTCTGGAAGGCTGTCAGAGCAGCAGCAACATGGAATTATTGTTATGCGTTTCTCTGGGCTTCGGAAACTAACTTGATATTGTGTGCTTTATCTTGAGTCGGGGATCCAGAGTTTCTGAGAAGAGAGGAGCCAGATCAATGTATTAACGGGAGCTAATAAGATAACCCTTGCTGTTTTCTGGGCCATGCCATGCTCAGCGGACAACCAGAGGCTAACAGGGCTCCATGCTGTCTCCTGGAACACCCTTTAACGAGAGTAATGTCTGGCTTTCTCCTGCACATGCTTGATTCATGGCCTCCTTCTGGTGAGAGCAGTTTCAGCCAGGTCCTGTGTGGGTAAGCCCAGCCTGACTCACATGTGCTACCTGGCCCATCCCTGGGGGGGGGGGGTTGTAGAACGTGTCATCTCACAGCTCATTTCAAAGTCTACCCAGTTTATAACTTTTGATTTCTGTGAAAATATAACCCCTATAAGAAGGTGTAGGAATTTATACTGCTGTCAATCATTTCCTAATAAGCAGGTTCTGAGAGGTTTGGATGGAAGGAACAGACCTTCACAGGAAGTTACTGGGGTTGAGGAAAGTTAAGATGAAGAAATGGCATATAGTTGGGAGCCCCAAACTATAGTCTTCTGGAGAGGACTTTCTTTGATGAGTGGCTACTCTCAGTGGGCATGGCTGACAGTGCTATTTCCCTGGCACTGTGGTAAAAGTAGGCATACAGAGTTGGGCAGAAAGATAGGTGGGCATCCTGCTTTGTTTCTTTTTTAATTGTTGGGCACAATGATGGGGAGTGGTCTATGCTGAGATATCCTAGCTAGTGCGACCTCGCCTATTTCCTGTCTGCCAGATGCCGTCTCAACTTAAGCAACCTTGGGATTTCTTCCTTCGGGCGTCTAAAACTACTCCGGTGTTGGCATTGTCTGGCATATGTTTGGGATGTGGTCCAGGATCTAGGGCATCAGAGGCAGAGAAGCAAGGTCAGCCTCTGGACATATCAGGTTACCCAGCAAGCTCTGGGGCACTGGCCATTCATTTCTTTCCCGGGACTAGAAAGAAGCCTTGTGCTTGGGCATTCTTTAGTGCCCTGTAGGATTACCTTGGTTGGTGGGGGACAGGGCTGGAACCAGGACTCTAGGTTGGGAATGGGTGTATGCTTTGGCTGGTGTCTGTTAGGAATACTCAAAAGTGCGTCTGACCGCCTGAACCCACATGCCTGCTTGGGAGTATGCCTCAATCCAAGTGCACTTGGTGTCACCCTATATGCGCCACTCTGCCCTATGTCGCCACCACCAGGGTGGCTCGAAAGACCCAGGGGGTGCCTGCAAACGTCCACGCTGGGGAGAGCCGGCGAGCCTGCGGCGGCAACGTGCGGGGAAGCGCCCCCTGCCCCCTCTGCCGGCCGCTCTACCTCGGTCTAGATGTCAGCCGCGAGCTCCGAGCCAGCGAGCGAGCCAGAGAGGGAGCGGCGGCGGCGGCGGCGGCGGCGGCGGGCCG